ATTACTAGAAGCAGCCTCTGTGGCATCATTGAGTTCAGAGCACTCTCTTGCTGGCCTGCGTGTGCTCATGCTCCTTTCACGTGTAAATGATTGGTATTTCGTTTTACTTCACAAAGGCTTATTAGTGAACTCCTCAGTCAGTTGAATTTTGTTTTGGCCATCAGCAGAGTGGCTGAGGAGGATACCAGTTGAATAAGAGGATTTTGTCTAAACAGAATTTTGATTGTCTGTCTTTGGATCCGTAAACATTCAGCCTGGCCTCTTCCATCCCCTCCATGTACCTGTACTCGGGCAGGAGCTGATACTTGGAATGACAAACCTGAAACGGCACAAGGCACTGAATTGCTCCCGTGTGGTTGTGGCCCACTCAGTAGGTCAAAAAGTGACATCTATTTTGGACGGATGGCTAGTGGTGGTCATTGGCAAAGATGTTTCTCCTTCATTCAGGTTCCTGATTGATGGGAGATTTAAATTCCCTGTGGATTAGGGATGGATTTAGAAAAGGGTTTATGGAGCCTTTGTAACTGTTGCCATGAAGACGCACTTTGGATTCTCATTCTGCCCCTCAAATTCATAGAGCTGGTGTGCAGAGGTCTGAGAGTGGGGATGGGCGATTCTCACCTGGGTGTATCCATTCTCGCCAGCATTTAATATGAAGGTGTGTGCTTTCCGCAGTGTCGCATAGCTCATCTCAACTTCTTTGCGATTCTCCTTTGCCCCAGTTGCAAGCAGAAGCGCCCAGGCTGGCCGAGTATCAAGCATACATCGACTTTGAGATGAAAGTAGGCGATCCCGCCCGCATTCAGTTGATCTTCGAGCGCGCCCTGGTGGAGAACTGCCTCGTCCCAGACTTATGGACCCGCTACAGTCAGTACCTAGTAAGATCACCTGCCTGTTCTGATCTCATTTTATTTTTACCAATTTAGGTTCTTTTTAAGGGAAAAATCAGGAGTGCCAGGAGTTAGCTGCGTGCTGCTCCTCTGCTTGACTCACTTAGGAAGTCTCCTAGTGTTTTAACTTATTTTAAACTGATCACCAACTGTTAAAAAAAAAAAAGGGGCACAATCTTACTATTGATGGCTTTATAACAGATTAATTTTTTCTTGTAACTTTTTATGACAGAAAAATGTAAACACATAAATGTAGACAGGTTTGTGAAATGAAATGACAAGTGATTATCTCCCAGCTTCAAGTGACGAATGGCACTAGTCTAGTTTCATCTATATGTTACTAGTTTCATCTGTTTCCTTACCTGGTCCCCTCCTTCCATGTTATTGTGAAGCAAATCCAGAAATCCCATTTCGATGGTAAATATTTCAGTATGTATACATAAAAGATTTGAATTGGGATCTGAACAAGATCTGGACTTTAGGATTGGCTGATAGCTCTTTGATCTGTAGGTCCCCTCTCCTTCTCTCTTCCTCTTCTCCCCCAGTCTCCGTTGCGATTTCTTTGTTGAAGAAACCAGTCACAGGAGACATCATTAAGGACATCTCTCTCATCAGTTGGCTGTGCTGGAAATGTCTTGTGGATGGTGAAGTCGTAACAATAAAATTTTATCTCCTGACCCTGGCATTCTCTATCATAGGATCGGCAGCTGAAAGTGAAGGATTTGGTTTTATCTGTGCACAGTCGCGCTGTTAGAAACTGCCCCTGGACAGTTGCCCTGTGGAGTCGGTACCTCTTGGCCATGGAAAGACACGGAGTTGATCATCGAGTGATTTCAGGTGCGAATGTTTTTGTGGGAACACATCTAAACTTTCTGTGCGAGTCAGAAACACTGAGCTGTGACAGCCATTAAATCAGTGTCCCCCAGGGGCTACTCTGGAATATTGAATAATAGTGACAGAAGGGGCTGTAAGTGGGAGGTAAACCGGTGGTCCTTTTGGCTTTTTAGAACTTTTTATGTCTTAATATGCATTGTGATAATCCAGGAAGTCCCGGTCTTTTCTCCAGCTAACTCGACCTGGAGCACTCGAATGCAGGACACCTCGTGGGCTGTGCCCTTTCTAGAACCCAGTTTGGGCCCCACTGTAGCAGCCTTTCTTTTGAACATTTTTCTCTGGCTCGTTTCACTTTGTTGCAGCCTGTTGTTATTAAAACCATACGGTATTTTATAGTCAGTAGCGGTTTCTGCAGTAACCTTGGTAACTTTGTATTAGCTTCTTTTTGAATTGGCAACATATCCTGGCTTCTTCTCTAACTCCAGTGACCTTCGAGAAAGCTCTGAGTGCTGGCTTCATTCAAGCCACTGATTATGTGGAGATCTGGCAGGCATACCTTGATTACCTGAGGAGAAGGGTTGATTTCAAACAAGGTATTGAAATTCATGTGAAATTTCATGTCAGAACTGAGCTTTTTCTTAACGTGTCTTTTGGTGGGATGTCCCAGTTGCCCAAATACCACCTGATGGGGCAAATGATGGAGACCAGCCATGGGTAACTTGTTTTCTCAGAATCTGTAGTGATTTAAGTCTAACAGATAGACTGTAAAGGAAGAGAGTGGTCCTTACATCCTACACGGGCTCTTGCCAGCCTCCATAGTCTCATTTCTCTCTTCTCTCCCTCCTGTATGTCGTAAATAGTTCTGAACATAGGACTGCTGTGTTCTTTTAAATCATTGAGCCTCCATAGGATCCCCTGCCTGCCTCCCTCAAAAAAAGAAAAAAAAAAACAACAAAAAAACCCCAGAGCAGCCAGAATCCCTAGTCCAGCTGGTATTTGCCCACTCGTGCAGGTGGCCATCAGCCATTCTGCTGGCTTGAGGGGCCCCCTCTGCAGCGGTCCCACACTCGGCGCCCTTGCCACCTTGTCCTTACATTACCATGTGCTCTGGGTCTTCTTCCCCTGCTGTGTGATGAGGGCGGGGCAGGGGTCGGGGAGACTGGCAGTTTTCTTTCTGTGTCCCCAGCATGGTGCCAGGTGCATCTCACGCTCCTGGGAGTTTCAGTGTAGGGTTAAAAAAAAAAAGAACATAGCATATGGTTTCACCGAGCTCTGCCTCCTGCATCTTCTCGCAGACT